AACCTCATAAAATAAGAGATGCACTTTAAAAAAAAATGTCAGCATATTATCAATTAAGTTGGTACAATATCATATAGTATGGGTCTGCAAACGTGTATCCGCCCGATGACGCATCAGGTTTAGAACGTCTGAAAATACAGACTGACTATATCAGGGGTCAAACCTCAGTTTCTGTAGGGCCACAGCCTAATTAAACACACCTGATCCAGCTAATTATAAATAGATACGCTTATCTCACTGCGTAAGAGACAGAGTCAAATTAGTAAAGAAAGAGAAGTGTTTATTCTTGCAAGAATAGGCCCAGTCGCGAACACAGCAGTTACACTGTGGAGAGAGTGAGACGCCTTCAGGGAGACATGAGACAACTCTTATATTATTTTCAAGGTTTCTCTTCACCCGCTGTACCTTTCACCCACCCAGATAAGGCCCTTACTGCTGTTAGTCTCTACTTAAGGACACAAACTGGTACTGAAGTAAACTGGCCGTCCCTAAGGTCAGAGGTCCTGTCCCATATGTTCCTGAAACGTCACCCACAACCACATACACATCTATACAGTGTTTTACTCATGGAATAGGTTCAATGGAAACACATGGCTCAGACTACCTAGTAATCTTCACTAATGATTAAAATTTCCAAAACAGGTGTAAGGTAAGCTAAGTGACATTACTGGCGAGCCGAGGTTTTAACATTATTTTAAAAAAATGTTCCCTAGTAATAAATGTTGTAACTTTATTTTATAACAAAAGCATTAGTCTTAAGGGACTCTATAAAAACACAGAGCTCAATAGTGTTCATGGGCCTACTTTCCCTTCCAAAAATGTCACTAGCCCCACTAAATAAGTTAATAAAAACATTTTTATTTATTTTATTTAACCTTTGTTTAAAAAGGTAAAATCAGTTGAGAACAATTTCTCATTTACAACTGCGACCTGGCAGACAAAGCGAAACAGCAACTCAGAGATAAACATAGAAATAAGTAAACAATCAAAAATAACCAATCCACATGCAAAAACACGATATAATACAAAATCAAGTGTGTAAATGTATAAACAAACATACAATCAATGAACCAATCCATCAAAAAAAGCAAAATATAGTATAACACTACACTCTAAAAAATGCTGGGTTGTTTTAACCCAATTTTGGGTAAAATATGGACAAACCCAGCCATTGAGTTACATTTTTAAATTACATTTTTAACCCAATGGCTGGGTTTGTCCATATTTTACCCAAAATTGGGTTAAAATTGGTAAAGGAAATAGGAACCTCAAGTTTCAAGGATTTCTGCAATTCAATTCAGTCATAGCAGAGAACTGGAATGAATGGCGACCAAAAGAAGTATATAAGCTTTGGGGACAGCCAGTAAAATATACCTGCTAGAGCGCATACTACGGGTGGATGTTGCTATGGTTACCAGGGAGCTAAGATAGGGCGGGGATATGCCTAATAAGGACTTGGAGCCAATGGATTAGTGAGGGTCAGCCAATAAGAGATCAAGATTACAGTGATGAGCACTGTATGGAGCTTTGGTAACAAAACGGATAGCACTATGATAAATGACATCCAGTTTACCAAGTAGAGCTTTAGAGGCTATTTTGTAAATAACATCGCCAAAATCAAAGATTGGTAGGATAGTAAGTTTCACAAGGGCATATCTGGAAAGATGCTTTTTTGACTAAATAGAAAGCCGATTCTAGATTTAATTTTGGATTTGAGATAGTTAATGTGAATCTAATTAAGTTTACAGTCTAACCACATTCCTAGATATTTGTAAGAGTCCACATAATGTAAATCAGCCAAGAGTAGTGATGGTAGTCTGGTTGGCAGCTGTGGACAACGTTAAATTAAAAAGCATGCATTTAGTCTTACTAGCATTTAAAAACAGATGTAGATCACGAAAAGCGAATTGTATGGCATTGAAACTAGTTTAAAGATCAATTAACACAATCCAAAGAAGGGCCGGATGTATGTAAAAATGGTGTCGAATCGAATCACCAGCAGCACTAGCAACATCATTAATGTAAATAGAAAATAGGATTGGCCCCAGAATTGAACCCTGGGGCACCCCCATAGAGACTGCCCCAGATAGCAAACTGACATTGAATCAACGTGGAAATATGACATCGAAACAACATTAATCTGACATTGTTTTGCTCATCGAATTAACGTTGAACCAACGTCAGACGCGTCATTCAACGGAAAATCAACTTGAAATCAACGTTGTTTCAACGTTATGAAAGCAAACCAATTTTCGATTTTCATTTAGCTTTGAAGAATGCTGCGTCTGACATTGGTTCAACGTTAATTCGATGAGCAAAATCAACGTTGTTTCAATGTCATGAGAGATGTAGTTTCCACGTTGATTCAATTTCAGTTTGCTATCTGGGGCAAGAGGACTGGACAGAACACCCTCCGATTTTACACACTGAACTCTATCTAGGAAATAGAGAGAACCAAGCAAGGCAGTCACTTAAGAAACCACAGTCCTATTCTACAATACAACACATGACAGTTTACAATACTGCTTTTGACATATAACAAGCTGAACTTTGATATCGAACAGCGAAAAACTAAAACCATGAACTCAGACTGATCAGTTTTACAATCAGTCCTTGTTTGCTGTGGGTCAGGGTGGGCCAAGCTCCTGATTGGTCGCCAACCCTCGCCCTCCTGCGGAGCCGGGCCTCATTGGGACACAGCCCATGTGATGGAGCAGAGCTGGAACTAAACTCTGCAAGGACGTGGCTAATAAGAAATTGGGTTTTGCACTCCTGCTCTACATTCTTGCTATAATTAAAAAAGAGATTAGACACTTTAATGAGGTCTTCTAATAAGGCCTTATATTAATAATCTTCTGCTTAATAAGGTTGGTCTGCAATTCATTTTCACTTTATCAGCTGATTGCGCTTTTGTTTCCTTGCAGAAATCAAAGAAAGTTGATGATCAAATACTGCATATCCAGAAACTGTCAGTCTGTCAATGGACAAGCGAGGACTGTCAGAAAACGTGAAGGGTTGAGACAGCGCAGGAGAGGCTAGCTAGGATAAATAGGCTAAACTTTCAGCCAACTCCCCACAGAAAAGTCTGTTCCCATCATTTTACCAGGTGAATAATTTAATAGGTGGGAATGTGGCTTATCGAACAATCTGTTGCAGAACAGGAAAAGTTAAAGAACATCTCCTTGACTTTTGGTTATTCATAAAAACAGCTTAATGAGTTAGGAAAAGCTAGGAAATTAGAAATTTAGGAATTAGCTAGGAAAAATAGGCTAAACTTTCAGCCAACTCCCCACAGAAAAGTCTGTTCCCATTATTTTACCACAGGTTTCACACATAATCCGTGTGCAATGTGTGTGTGGTGTGTATACGGTACGAAAGAGCATTTCGATTCAGAGACATTTGTTTTCAGACTGTACCAGGACCAACATTCAGCACGCATGACTCATTGCACACATACTTCTGTACACATAAATAGACATTCCATCATTGGACCTTGATACTTTAAGACCTCTATTTAAAGACCTTCTCCCCAAACAGAAGCCTGTTCCCTTTCACTAGATATGACGAATGTCATTTTGGCACGTTAATTCACATTAGAGGTATTTCTGAAGTTGTAGGGAGGTCAAGCGTTCAAGTAGTGTTTAAGGCTAAATGTCAATTTCACTCGTATTGGTCCCGATAACTTAAATCTTGGAATCGTAACAATTAAAGAGTTTCACCTGATCTTTTTCCATCATTTCCAAATTCTCTTCAGTGTCCATTTCAGTGCATCAAAATTATAAATGATGTTACATTATTTTATTAGGAGCCTCGGCCTGAGTCTGGATGTGCCATGTCCTCCAAAGGAAAGGAATCCGGATCAGATGATGGGTCATCAGCATCATCCTCCTGTAAGAAAACACAGATTCACAGAAGGTTAAAGTGATGATATGGACAGATGTTTCAGTTACACAAACACAAAAATACTGTGGTTTTCAGTTCTTCAATATTTAACACAGTCTATAAACCTGCATCAAACTATCATCTCCTGTCCTTCAGTAATACAAAAATTGAAGTATTTTGATTTTAATTTCACATTAAAAAATTGGCGATGTCTAACAAAACACTTGCTCTCTGGCAAAAGTTGCCCTGTTGTATTATATGAACTGTTATTTAGTTAATTTGTGTGTGTTAATTTGACTGCCTCACTGGTGAACTGTAGTGTTAAAAAATTGAAAGGACAAAAAAATACTATTCAAGGTTTACATTTATGTTTATATACAGAATTATTCTCATATTTCTTGTTAAATCATCAGATATGTAATTCTTACATCCTGTGGTACTTGTTCTGCTGTATGTCTGTGGTGACGATAAATCACAACAACAAAAGTTACAACTGCAGAAACCAGCAGAATGACACCAACACATATTCCTGCTACAGCTCCTGGAGACAGACCTGAAACTGATGAAGACAGACAGACATTATTACTAGAGATTGACTGATAATCCATCCAGTATTTAACAATATCTTTGATATTTACACATTTTATTATACATACACCTTTCTGATCATCATTTGTATGATATTGAACTAACTTTGCAGTTAAAATCAAAATATTCTAGGGCTGAACGATTATGGAAAATAATCTAATTGCGATTTTTTTAACCAATATTGCGATTGCGATTTAATATGGGATTTTTTTAAAAGTTGTTTACCTTCTGTATTAGTCGACAAAGACAAGCAATAAATCTTTGTACATCTTTGTAGAGTAGGGATGGGAATCTAGGCAGCTCATGATCTGATCTACTTTTTTTCTTATTAATTAATCTTAATAACACTTAAAATATGTATTTAATATTCACTGGAAAACTGCATTTTTAACATTCGTCAAAGTGTCCTTGAGTCAAAGTTCGCTTTTTTAAACAGTCTATTCCCCAACAGTTATTGGGTTTATTAAAAATTAATAAACTGTTTTTTCCCTCAAAAGAAAATGCATTTAATGGCTGAATTATACACTCACCAATGACAGAAACACTGAATCTCTTCACTCTAGTGATGCTGAAGGTTCTGTTGATGAAGATTATCTGTAGTTTATAGAGTCCAGAGTGTGTGTTTGTGGTGTATGTGATGGTCAGAGATCCAGTCTGATGATCCAGCTTCAGTCTGTCTCTGAATCTCTCTTTACACTGATCATCTGTACAGATCTGACTCTGATATCTAGTGATTTCAGCGATGACAGTGTCACTAAAATACCACGTCATCACATCACTTGGTTTTCTTATTACACCAGGATGTAAAGTAACAGATTCTCCCTCCTTCACTGACTTTCTCTTCACTTCATCTCGTTCAGCAGCAGAAACACCTGAAACACAAACCAACAATCCAGATTGTTTCAAAGCAGCTTTACAGAGATAACATGAAAATAAATTATAATACAACACAGTTTTTTCCAGAAGAAAATGGCGTCACAGTCCAGCTTAAAAAGTTTTTTGCTGGAAAAAGTGATTCATTTAATTTAGTGATTTTTCATGAGCTGAACTCAAAGATCTGAGGCCTTGTCCACACGGACATGGATATCTTATAAGTGTTTAAAAAAAATTCCATCCACATGAAAACCCAAAAACACGCAATCAAGCGCTGTCAAGAGCATGCCACACCAGCAGGCGGCGATATAACCCTAACCGTAAAGCCACGTCGGCCAATCAGAAGCCTGACAAAAACTTATTACAAGTTAAAGTCAAGGGGGTAATCCATCGACCGGAAGTTGAAGCCTCGCGGGAGCTGCCATCTTGTAGCAGAACTTCACTTGCGTTAGCATTCCCATTGACTCCCATTCATTTTGGCGTTGAATAACTTTACATCTGAGGCGTTTGAAGACCCCATTTGTCCTTTATTTATTTCTAAAAAAAACACGACAATGTATAAATAGCTCCATTACCTTGTAGCTTATGTTATGGCCCCGTTGAAGCAGTTTTAGTGAAAGTAGGCTAACGATTGCGTCATACCCACACGACTCTCTGTCGCACAGTAGAGAGATTACCGTATGGACAGGAGAAGAAGCTCACGCGCAATTGGGGAAACATGGAGGCAAAATGACAAAATAATTAATCAGAATACCTAGCAAAAGTGTTTCCTTCTGCTAGCTCATGGACAGCTCCTACTCACACTCTCCGCCTCTGCAAGTTTCAGAAGGGAATGATTCAGATTTCTCATGCCACAGCCACTAGAAGACAGGCGGGTTGCTCACGTCACATTACGTAGTCAAGCTCTGTTTGAGTCTGCGCGTCAGGGACGGAAGTGCTAAAAAACAAGCTTCAATCGTCTCAATGGAGTTCCAATGAGATCGCTCTGTCCATTTCTTTTACTGTCTATGGTTAAAGTAGGCGGATAACAGCACAGCGCAGACGCATTCTCTGACGTCACAAGGCAAAACCCCCGTATTTACCATCTACACGACAACACTGTAACCGGCGTTTCTGAAAATCCTCACCCTGGCCGGGGTTTTCAAAAATGTTCAGTTTTAGTGTCCTGCGTTTCTGTGTGGACGAACGGCCGAACCGTGTAAAAAAAAATCATGATTATAAAAATATCCGTGTCCGTGTGGACATGGCCTAAGACTTTTTCTATGTACACAAAAGTGAGCACTTCTCCTTTGCCTAGATGCATCTACCGCAAGATGCTGATTAGACAGCAGGATTATTGCCTTAGGCTGACCACAATAGAAGCCCACCCCTAAAATGTGCCATTTCAACACGCAGCACAATGCCACAGATGCTGCAAGTTTTGAGGGAGCTGTGCAATTTTATCATGCTGACCTCAGGGATGTCCACCAGAGCTGAATGTTATTTCTCTAACATAAGCGTTTTAGAGAATATATGCAGTACATCCAACCGGGCTCACAACCGCAGACCACGTGTAACCCCACCAGCCCAGGCCCTCCACATCCAGCATCTTCACCTACAAGATTGTCTAAGACCAGACGGCCGGACAGCTGCTGCAACAATCGGTTTGTAAAACCAATTATAATTCTGCACAAACTGTCAGAAACCGTCTCAGGGAAGCTCATCTGCATACTCATTGCCCTCATCAGGGTCTCGACATGACTTGAGTTTGTCGTCGTTACTGACTTGAGTGGCAAATCACATTCGATGGCGTCTGGCACTTCGGAGAGTTGTTCTCTTCAAGGATGAATCCTGGTTTTCACTGTAGAGGGCAGATGGCAGACCGCGTGTGTGGCTTTCTATGGTTGAGCGGTTTGCTGATGTCAATATCAGTTTAAACATATAAACTGCATTTAAACATTCACTAACTCACCATGAACAGAAAGATTGAAGATATTTCCACTGATTCTGCTGCTGATGATCTTCACTTCATAGAGTCCAGAGTGTGTGTTTCTGGTGTTCATGATGGTCAGAGATCCAGTCTGATGATCCAGCTTCAGTCTGTCTCTGAATCTCTCAGTGCCTTCATTACACTGAACATCTGTACAGAACTTATTGACATCTCCATTGATTTGAGCGATGCGAGTGTCATTAAAATACCATTTAATATCATATTGTTGGATTGTTTGAACACCAGTGTATAGAGTGACTGAATCTCCCTCCATCACTGACACTTCATCTGATCCGACACCGGAAACACCTGGAGAAGAAATGAACATATATTAACAAATTCACAATATAGTTTAATCTGAATTTGAATCTCCCACATCAATAGTGTTTAGCTATATTAAATTTTAATTTGGAAGAAGCTTTTCGTATATTAGATTCAAGTTACATTAGTCAACACTTTAAAGTATGTGATTTATTGGTTCAGTATAACAAATATTTAACAGTTAATGCAGCATCTGTTAATAATTCATTTAAATGTTATTAAACCATTCAATCGCACTAAGAATGAAAAAACACAAATGTACTGGTGCATCTGAACCGGTTCTCTATGGATACTGAGGCTTTTTCAGTCGGGTAGGATCTGTGATCTCTGAGCCGGTTTGTTCATTGGCTTCCATGACTGTGATATATGCTGTGCTTTCCATCAACTGGCGACCCGAGCTGTCGAAATACTACTGGGCAGAATCCCACAGACCAAAACATTATCAGACATGACGCGAAACCCACATTTCAAAGAAGAATAAACGCCTGTCACATTATTTCTATTAGAAAAAAACTGTGAACAGTGCGTTTTCTATACAGTACATGTCTGACTGCAAACATATTATACTTTTATTCTTTAGTAAAGTATTGCATTCAGCTGGTGCTCTTCCCTAATTTTTGTCTGAAACATTGTACATTTGTTTTTATTTTAATTTTTTTCTTCTTTGGAATGGTATGAAACTTGGTAAACTTTTTGGCACTTGCTATGTGAACACACACACACAAAAGACACGATTCCAACAGGTTAACAGGGAAATGAATGGGAGAAGAACTCTATCTAGAGTTAACTTTTGGCACCGTCTCATATTTTAAACACAACTTGTTTAGATTTAAGGCTTTGATTTTCTCAGATTTAGAGTAAAACATGTTTTTGAAAATAGTATTTCTGCACATTTTTCATAACAGTAAACGTAAAATTTTGTAACTTTTCACTTTTTCCCCTAAAAATATTAAATATTCAATACACTTTGTTTGACTGAAATATAGTACATTAATTTCATTTTCATTGGAAAAAAAACTAATTTCAGTCATTTTTGACTGACACGTGAAGAGCACTAATGTATATTATTACCATACGTCTAGTACCCTTTAGGTTCTGATATGGTATAAATGTGTAGCGTTGACGCAGTGGCGGCTGGTGATTAATTTAATAGGTGGGAATGTGGCTTATCGAACAATCTGTTGCAGAACAGGAAAAGTTAAAGAACATCTGCTTGATCTTGACTTCTGGTTATTCATAAAAACAGCTGTAATGAGTTCATTTACCAGTTTCAATGAAATTTGACACCTCCATGACCGATTTAACTAAGACAGAGGAAAACTTATGTACACTAAACATTAAACTACTTAACCTTAGTAAACAATACTTCTACAGCATGTATTAACGTTATTTCAACATTAATGCTCTGTGAAGTAGCATGAACAAACAATTAACAACTGGATTTTTCAGCCACGAACTGAACGCGTAAATGAGGGAGAAAAAGTTGCACAAAAACTAACAATGCATTAAAACCAATGTTGTTTCTAATCTTTGACATGTCCAAGACTGTGATAAAAAGCAAAAAATAATAACAATCCAGTCCTCAATCACATTTTATATTGAAAATAAGTAATTTTCTGTGCTTTTCCCCCCAAATCAGTCACATCGTTTGTAAATTTGGCAATTAAAGAGAGTTAAAACCTGATTTTTTTTAGTTATGATCAGGAATAAGATTGATTAATAGATTTATGCAAAAAAGAAAAAAGAAAAAAAATATTTATCTGATACATTTTTAAAGCAGTTTAAAACAGTGGTTTTCAGCCACAAACATAACGAAAGCGTAGTGAACAGCACATATTAAGGGTTAACTAACAAATGTTGACAAATGAGATTTTTTTAAAGTGAATTAATCAATGTGATGAACAAAAATCTGCATGCTGGTCTAGAACAAGCTCTTCTAAAGTTTTTCTGCCAAAGTTCTTGTATTAAACTGACATTGAAGTGTTTATGTGTTTGATGACTGCACCAGTGGGGTGCAGAGACCTCCTCAGGGTCAAGGAGGACACTAAACACTTTTTTATTTTTATTTTATTCTTTCTTTCCTTGGCATTCTAAGAAAATGTGTTTGATTCAATCAGAATGAATAAAACACACATCAAATGAAAATAGGGGAATTATGATAAAATTACTAAATAGTATTTACTTTACCAAACAAAACAGTGAGAATCAAGAAGGTAATTATGGAAAATTCAATTTTAGTTTTGCTGTTGTAAATTTAATGTATGTTTTAAATGTATGAAAGTAGCTATCATGAATCAGTAACACTTTGCAATTATATAGGTTTCATTATTTAAATAAGTTAACATTAACTAATAATGAACTGCACTTCTACAGCATTTATTAATCTTAGTTAATATTAATTTCAGCATTTACTAAAACATTAAAATCAAATGTTGTATTTGTTATCATTAGTTAATGCACTGACTGTGGCATAACGCGAATAAACAATTAACGTTAACATTGTATTATTAACTAAAATGTAAAGCATTACTATGAAATCAAAGATATAAAATTCCTTACAATTTAAAGCAGGACATGGACTTAAGATTTAATTTAACTAGATTTATTTCCCCAAGCCAATAACACTTGGATAAAACCACTGACATAATCACTCAGAATGCGTCTGTAATCGAGTTACACTTAGTTAGTATAACTCGCATGCTGCCGCAACTTTTAGAGTAGCATGGTAGGATAAATCAAATGTTCTGTATTAGATTAAACAACGTTACCGGCTGCAGCTTGTTTCAATATTGACTCGCGCGAACTGCTGCGGCCTCATTATGCTTCTGCGTCAACTCCACGGCGTAGCTACGTCGTCACTACTACGGCGTCGTGGCCGTTTTATACTTCTGCGTGAGGTTGTGGTGCTTCGCGGTGCATTTCGCCGCCAGAACGCTAGGAGGGTTCGCGAATCTCTTTGGCTCCGTGCGCCGCGAGCGAAAGAGAGATAATGTTGTTGCAGCTGCCAGCTGGAGCTAATCCATAGACATATACACGGAGCTAATCGACGTTGAATAACAAGACGACACAAAACTTTATCCCCACAGAATCAACACGGATGTCCAGGGCCCGTTCCACCCATAGACAGTAAAATAAAGGTTCCACCCGAGCTGCCATAACGATACCTGTTCGGAATGACTTGAAGGATTTTTTCAGTCTCCACATGGAACTGTGCTATGCAGGATATAATGTGTCCCGTGGCAGACTTGGTTAGTACTGTATTATCAATGATGTAACCGTGAACATTGTATTGAAAATAAACAACAAACTGTGTTTCAAAACAAACGTTGATTTATTGATTGATTGAAGTTTATTGCGAGAAAGAAAGAAAAACAATATAGACATATATATTAACAATGAAATAAAAAAAAACAGTTTATTTTTAGTTTAATTCTTTATTTAACGTTACTTTCTTTAAGAGTGTTAGAATTAAAAGAACGATGCAAATGTTAAAAATAGCGCTATGACAGGAGGGGGAAATCGGAAAAGCTACACTCCTGAAATTATGTTTAATCTGACCAAACAAAGCCCTTGCTGTCTGCGTCGCCTCGACGCGTAGTTACAAATTTTTGGAGGTGCACGTCGAGCTACGGCGGAGGGGTCGGAGAGGGGTTCGCGTCGACGGATAGGTGTCTGCGGGGGTACGCCGTCGATTCGACGCAGAAGCATAAAACAGGCTTAAAGCGTAGCCGTTAACGCGTACCAGGCGCTGCAAAGGAAACTCCGCCAAGTTTGTTTTATTTGTTTGTATTACTATTGTTAGTGTAACGGATCCCAGCCAGGAGTCCGTTAGCAGATATATATTGATACTCCTGGTCGAAGTGCTCTGGAAATATTGAATATATTACTTAGTTAGAAGAGACACGGGACAACAGTTGCTCTTTTTCCATTCAACCGGAATATGATTTTATTAACAACATTTCAACCTTATATCTGCCATAGAGAATTATTCCTGTTATTTTTGGTTGCTCTGTACTGAAACACAGACTATCCACAATTGGATAACACGAAATTACATATTCGTCAAAATGTACATTTCCACATAAATGTATCTTCACATATTTCCTCAACCTTCACAGTTTTCTCTTAAACACACATTTTCTCTCTAAACCACCTTCTCTGTTATCTCTCATTAAACGAGTATTTCTGTATACATTATACATTTTACATACATTTAAGTGTTCACTTAATAAAACAGAATAGATCCCATTTGCAGTTAGGTTAGGTTCAATTAAATTACATTAAACAAGAACAAACTTCAATAGTAAACATTTGTCTCCTAACTTTTACTCTTGATTTTTATGAACTGAAACTGTTTTACAGTCTAATATTACCACATGTGTGCATTCAATGCTACCACGTGCGTTTCACCCAAAGCTACATCTGTGAATTGCTTTTACTCTGTACATTAGCGTTTTATTTATTACCCGTAATGAATTATTCCCACCATTCATATTTAAAGAGCCCAAGCTCAACAGCTCCATAAAAGAAAGAAAATATGAAAGGGATAGAAAAAGAACAAAAAGACACAGAGAAAAAAAAAAACACCCCATGTGACTTAACCATTTGATTTGTATTGTAACGTATTCGCTTTGTCCTTTCTTAGCTTTGTTAACTTACCATCTACCCCATTCATATTTAAAGAGCCCAAGCTCAACAGCTCCATAGAAGAAAGAAAATATGAAAGGGATAGAAAAAGAACAAAAAGACACAGAGAAAAAAAACACCCCATGTGACTTAACCATTTGATTTGTTTTGTGACGCATTCGCTTTGTCCTTTCTTAGCTTTGTTAACTTATCATCTACCCCATTCATATTTAAAGAGCCCAAGCTCAACAGCTCCATAGAAGAAAGAAAATATGAAAGGGATAGAAAAAGAACAAAAAGACACAGAGAAAAAAAAAACACCCCATGTGACTTAACCATTTGATTTGTATTGTAACGTATTCGCTTTGTCCTTTCTTAGCTTTGTTAACATTTTCTTCAATCTGAACCTTTGTTTACTAAACACCTCATAACTAACATTTCTCTGCAAAAGTTTCACCGTATGAATGAATTTGTTTTCATCAGGAAAAAAATCTTTAACTAAGGTAAATCCAGAAAGTTGTTTATAGCCTGTACTGTATACACATCGTCCACACTCCCACACTGTGATCCAATGTCAGATACATCCGAGAAATCATCATCATCTCTCACCCCCAAATCAGCATCAGTAGCCTAGGCTACACATTTCCACAGAATTAGACATTTCAGACTTCTCATTAGAAACCCTTTCAACACTAACCGTAGCAGCATCATCCGTTGCACTATTTTCATCAGTTCAGAAACATCATGATTTTTACCGAGATCAACCATTTCATGAACGTTCTCAGTCTGACTTTCAATCACTCCATCACTCTCGTTGTCCCTCTGTGATTCAGCTTGAGGCTGCACGTCCTCAGAAACTGCCCTACACTCTCACCATCAGCAGAAGTACTGGGCCTCACCTCGACTTCAGTAACTTGGGCCTTGTGTGGGCATGTGTGCCTTTTATGCCCGATGTCAAAACATTTCATACTACCAGTGTTTGCGTAAATAAAATATGCTTTTCCTTTATGCATAACTTTAAACGAAATATCCAACTCTGGTTCATTTAAGAACATAAACACCTGCCGCCTGAAGGACATAACGTGTTTCAGAGCAGCATTTCTACACCCCAGCGGGATCATCTTAATCATACTAGCCATCTTTCCATATCGCGTCAAAGCTTTCTCAATTTCTTCATTTCGAATAAATGGCGGCACATTAGAAATCGTAACTTTAGTAACAAGTGGTGAGATGATAAGGAAATCGCCACTTACCACAATTCCTTCACTTATCAACTGATTTACTATGTCTTCTTTCTCGACAAACACAACCACCAGTGGTGGAATGTAACGAAGTACAAATACTTCGTTACTTTACTTAAGTACATTTTTCACGTATCTTTACTTTACTTAAGTAGAATAAATAGAGCATACTTTTTACTTTTACTTCGTTACATTTAGCAGAAATTATTATACTTTCTACTCCACTACATTTCTACAACTTCTGTTACATTTTCGTTACATTTTCTGATCAGTTTTCCCCCCTGCCAAAACGTAATTTGACCGTCCGTTCGTTGCACGTTTGTCTCACCAGTGACGTCTGGTTGCCATAGATACATCAACTAAATGCGTCTTGCACGCAGTGTGTTTATCGTGCAATATATCCGCGAAAATTTGTTTTTACATGCATAGGAAACACACCGTGTGTAATATACGTTTGGTTAGGATTATAGCAAGCCAAGAGGTTCAGAATTACACCATAAATTAATCGCGTTTACTGCCAAACATAATTATTAACATATGTTAGGATAAGCATGGTTTATATTGCCTAATTGCAAGCTTGTTTCAGAAATAGTGACAACATTTTTTTCCATCATTATTGAACATCATTATAGGAGTATTAGGTTGAATGAGTTAGAATTAAATGTTTTATTAATCATTAGAAAATAAATAGTCATTAAGAGAATAAATTGTTATGCAAGTACTTTTACTTTTAATACTTAAAGTAGGCCTACATTTAAAATCAGGTACTTTTTACTTTTTACTTAAGTATGGTTGTCATTGTGTTACTTCTACTTTTACTAAAGTAAATATTTATCTGGTTATTTGTACTTTTACTTAAGTAGCCTACTGAGATTAAGTACTTCCTCCACCACTGACAACCACTACTTTATTCATCCTGGATGCTGTAGTAATGTTTTCATATCCAACTTTTTCCCCGATTGCCGGCAACACATCCTCGACAGTGACGCCCACACGATTCCATGGCGGAGCGACACCTGCGACGCTGTCCCAGTAGGGACAGACGCCATCACGATGCCGCCGCAAACAAAACTCACAAACACTCACAAAACAAATCAAAATTAAATTTCAAAAGGAGAAAGAAAATAGAAAGAAAGAAAAAAAAACATTCATAAACAAAAAGAGGAAAAAAACTCCGAAAACAATCGTCCTTTCCTCACCCTCAAGCGCCCCCAACACTCCCAGCATGCACAGAGAGAGAGAGAGTTCTTACCATTGTCGAGAAAAATGAAGACCACCGAAAGCGAATAAAAGAGAAGATTCATTTGCAGCACGTTTTGATTCTGATCATTCTTTTGCATTAAAAGAAAACGCAGTGAAATTAACATGGGAGCCTCCTTAATATGGAAATAGAGGGTAACGTCGCCACTAGTGAAATCACAATGCGAGTAGATGACATGACGGTCTGTGTGTGTGTGTGTGTGTGTGAGAGAGAGAGAGAGAGAGAGAGAGAGAGAGAGAGAGAGAGAGAGAGAGAGAGAGAGAAAATAGTCTCTAGGGTATTTAAAGTGAGGAGTCAAGTGCCGATTTGGGTGGGGTCAGTAAAAAGGATTAAATGCTGTTTTTAGAAACCTGTTGAGTTCATATCTGGGTTAATAATGAATTATTTTCTTAATGCAATAATAACCTGGAATATTTAGTGTGAAAATCAGATGTAGTTTGGTTATGTGCTTGTTTTAAATTTACATTTGTGAAATCAATAATAAGGATCAAACACGTTATGAATGGGACACAGTTCTTAATCTGGGCAGAGTAATCTGGTAATTGTCCTTTTTTTCAAAGTATTTTTTTCTTTTTTAAAAAAAAATATTTTTTATGCGACAAACATTGGATGTTCTGAAATCTACAGCTGATTTCAGGCTTTTGTAAACAAACAGAAACATTAATCTGTGTAAATCTGTGTGTTCATCAGGTGTGTTTGGTGATTCAGTGTCAGTGATGGAGGGAGATTCTGTTACTCTAAACACATTTACTGAAATACGTGAAGATGAAGATATACTGTGGATATATGGACCTGAAAAATATCTAATAGCTAAAATGAATAAAAATAAGCAAATGTTCTTCACATCTGATGATGTTCCTGATGGGAGATTCAGAGACAGACTGAAGCTGGACGATCAAACTGGATCTCTGACCATCACACACACCACAACTGAACACACTGGAGTTTATAGACTAGAGATAACTGGAGCAAAAACAACATCAAAAACATTCAATGTTTCAGTCTATGGTGAGTGAAGATCATTTGTCTTGTGTTTCACATATTCTTGTTTTATTAAAGGAATATTCAAAACAAGTTAAACAAACAGTATTTGTGCCATAATGTTAATCACTAGCAAAACTCAAGGTTACGGTGAGGCGCTTATGTCAATGGAAACTTTTAAAACTTTAATTTTTGGTATGTTTTATCTTACCTCAAGGGCATCCAAGATGTTGGTATCTTTGTTTCCACAGTATTTTCAATTTTGATATTTTTAGGTCAAACCGTTCTTGTCTGTCAGTCATATAATGCAGGTCTATGGTCACCACCTCAAAGAGCATGCACAGAGAAGTCCAAATTAAACATGATTTAATGACTCGTAAATGTAAGTACACACTGATGGCCTAAGACACGAAACAAGAGGTTTGTGTGAGAAAACGAACAGGATTTATATCGTTTTTACCTCAGCCACGTCCAACTGATCTCCCGCGTGTGTACGTCACTCAGGATAAAAACACCTACAGCTGTGTGCTGAACAATCCCATCAGCAACCAGACCACACATCTGGACATCAACACACTCTGCAGACACACATGTGCTGGTACAGCACCACTCATCATATATGTGTGTGTGTGTGTGTGTGTTTACGGACCTGATCTCTGTCTTCTGTTGTAGATCACACTGATGCGTTCACTCACATTCATGACTATATCTCTATTATTTTTGGAGTGAGCTCTTCTGACACGCAGAGGTCTCAGATGTCTGGACACTCCCCACAAAGCTGCATGTGTGTGTTGGACCCCTAAAAGTGTCAAAGAGGCAATAAACTCCAGACTATTTGTAGCCATGCAGGCTGTGGAATTTTTAGGGTGTTGGATTACATGATTCACCCTGGGGTGACCCTGAAGAGTCTGGGGAATCCTGCCGCCATCCCATAGAGACGGCGATACTGTTGCATGGTCTTTGACAAGTGATGTATTGCCCCATACGTCCACACTAAAGAGAAACATTATTAGAGATTCAAAGGCTGATCATTATTCTTAGCCATGTTTATGTTATGCCCCTACCTGATGAGCTTCTCGATGGAGGTGCTGATGAAGAGCATCACTGCTTGGTGGCATGTGTCAAAGTCTTTTCCTTTCGAGCATCAGGACAAATCTGTGCCAGAGCAGCTGAAGTGATCTCAGACAGGGAGTGGCACACGGATCAGGCTGTCTTCTTGCAGAGGCAGTGTCACATCCCGTTAGGGCATTCCCTGGATGGTCCAAGATTGTGAGCAATATCATGTGTTGAAATGTACAATTCGAATTCTAGAAAAGTTGGGACGTTTTTTTTTTTTTAATAAAATGAAAACTATCAAATCACATGAGCCAATATTTTGTTCACAATAGAACATAGATAACATAACAAATGTTCAAACAGAGTAATTGTACACTTTATCTAATAAATGAGCTCATTTCAAATTTGATGCCTGCTACATGTCTCAAAATAGTTGGGATGGGGGCACCAAATGTTCTCTATAGGTGAAAGATCTGGACTGCAGGCGGGCCAATTCAACACCCGGACACCTGCAGTTGTATTATCTGAAGTATGTGGTTTTGCTGAAATATACAAGCACTTCCCTGAAATACGCTGATAACTCAATGGAAGGTCTTACTCTTCTTTTGCCTGTGATTTCCTACAAGAATGTCCAATTGTAAAATTACAAATGTACAGAAGTATAGCTTTACTGCTTAAGTACAAAATTACATTTTTTGATCGAAAAGATAAGTAAAGTCAATCTGATGAAACAATTTGTATGTGATATGTGCATATTTACCCTAGAGTACTAGGCTCTAGAGTATTTTTGGTGCATTGGTGGGTGGGCATATTTTTGAAAAACAAAACAAAAAAAAAACATGATTATGTATGATGATATTTCTGAAAAACATGATCTCACTTGTGTTTTTAATAAATTTATTTGGATGACCCTAAAGTTACGTCCATACCAAAGGCAACGTTTGCATCATGACTTGAAGTCAAAGGCCAATTTTTTGGGCTCAACTGCCTCTCAACCTCTCAACTGCCTCACGATCACATGCTGATTATAATCAGATTAGATCGGTGTGTGAGTGTGACATTATATTGGTATGAGATCTTGCAAGATTTTTGTTATCTCTTTGTTATCTAAGAGTTATCTCACATTTCAATACCATTTGTCATCAAAATCGCTAAAGCTCTCAGTGTTTGAATAATAAAGATTTTAAAACTCTAAACAAAAACCTCACAACATATGAGATGCACTTTTATTAAAAATGTCAGCATATTATCAATTAAGTTGGTACAATATCATATAGTATGGGTCTGCAAACATGTATCCGCCCGATGCAGATACAGCGTCAGGTTTAGAACGTCTGCAAGAAAATACAAATGGACTATATCAGGGGTCAGGGGTCAGGTGTAAGGTGGGCCAAGTGACAGAATTAATGTTGGATTTGAGATAGTTAATGTGAACTAGCAACATCATTAATGTAAATAGAAAATAGGGTTGGCCCAATAATTGAACCCTGGGGCACTGGACAGAAGACCCACCGATTTTACACACTGAACTCTGGGAAATAGTTGGAGAACCAAGCAAGACAGTCACTGGAGAAACCAAGGCTATAGAGTCTGCCAATAAGGATACGATGGTTGACAGGCTCAACACCTTGGCAAGATCTATGAAGATGGCAGCACAGTAATGTCTCCTATAAATAGAGGTTATGATATCATTAAGTACCTTAAGCGTAGCTGAAGTGCATCCATGACCAGCTCGAAAACCAGATTGCATAGCAGAGAAAATACAATGGTGTAAGGGCGGGGTATACAGTCAAAGACCCGGAAGCGGATTTGAAGAATGAAGACCTGGAGTCAGAATTATAAAGAAAAGTTTTACTGAAGATAGTTTGCAGTTTCATCAGCAGAATTCAGCTTCAAGACTTTCACAGGAGTTCGTAGGCCGCATTCTTACAGTTACAAAGATCACAGCAGTTATACCATTTACAAGGTCTAAGCTACGTCATTGCTTACACGTTGAATGATTCCGATTGGCTAAGAAATAGATAAAAACAGTAATTTTCCACATATATACAGATAGATGGAAGCATATCTCCATGGATTATGCAGGTGAGACTCATAAGCTCATCATGACCTTCCAGGTCACAGATTTGGGTTACTGGGCGCCAGTATGTCCAGAACAACAACTCAGTCAATCTCCAATAATGCCAGTGGTTCCTTAACCTGCAGGTAAGAAGACTAACACACACCGACACACTGCTTTTCCAAGGTTGGATTTGGCCAGGCTCTAACTATAAACAGGAGAGTCGTCTCAAAACATCAAGATAATGCCTTCTTTCTCTCAAGGATAGCTAAACTTTAGTCTAACTGGAAAGTAAGACTTTAAGAAAGAAATGGTCCCTGAAACTATTGGCTTCAATTACCCCTTTATGTTTTAACACTTTGAAGACCGTTCCCAAACACAAAACAAATCCTTATTTCATTTCTGGAAGCCGGGCTAAATGAGCAAGCACAAATACAGACATTAAAGAGTACATGCAAAGATCATTTCAGTAATCACACTGGTAACTTCTATAACAAAGGAAAATCGCACAAGGCTAGAGAAGTCATTCAACTCATTTAATATTTAGAAGAAAAAAAATACTGATTAATACCTTGATTATAATTACTCATCATTACTATACTTTGAAGCAACAGTGGATTCCAATCCACCTCCTTCAATGGGATTCAAAATATTCAGTAATCTGGCATTCACAAACTAGACATGGCAGAATAAATATAGGTCTATTACAATTTGGATCTAGAGTGTCTCCCCCTTTGAAGAGAGGGATGACCACAGCAGCTTTCCAGTCTCTAGGGATCTCACACGAATACAGAAGAAAGCTTGAATAGGCTGTTAATCAGAGTCTCAATAATTTTAGCTGATAGTTTTAAAAAGAAAGGGTCCAGATTGAACAGCTCTTACAAAACATCGGCTGTCCGGAGTCAACCCGGTCTCATCCCAAGACGTCATATAACTGACGTTTTGGGACGTCTTTTGACCATACGTCAATATTCGCCTTTTTAGGGCCCCCTTAAACGTCGGTAGATGAGGTTATGGGATCCTAACTCTAACCCAGACCTAAACCTAACCCTAAACCTAACTGACGTTAAAGGTAAAGCGTCAGTTGTATGACGGCCTAGGATCGTCATCTACCGACGTTTAAGGGGGCCCTAAAAAGGCGGATATTGACGTATGGTCAAAAGACGTCAGTTATATGACGTCTTGGGATGAGACTGTGTTACCAGAGTTGTGTAAAGGAAATATTAGGAAGGCTTGAACAAGTTGATGTAGGAGGTACAAAGCTCTTGGCCGAGATGGGATTAGCCAAATGAAAAGCATGACCAGCCACAGCAAAATGCTTATAAGAGTACAAATATGTACAAATACATACATACACAAAATATGCGCTAAATATATAAAAAAATGATGAAAATATGCTGATATGTGCAGTGAAAACAGCGTGCGGTTTCAAAATTGGGTTTCTTTCGAGTCTTCTTCAAAGAAATACTGCTTTACAATTGCAATACAACACAGTTTACAATACTGCTTTCTACACTAACATATAACAAGCCAAATTTTGATATCGAACAGCAAAAACCGAAAACCACGAACTCCCCCAAAATCTAGAGCTAAATTGAACATAACATCAGTTTTGCAATCAGTCCTTGTTTGCTGTGGGTCAGGTGGGCCAAGCTCCTGATTGGGTGGGTCATGCCAGCCCTCGCCCCCCTGTGGAGCCGGGCCTTATTGGGACACAGCCCATGTGATGGAGCAGAGCTGGAACTAAACTCTGTAAGGATGTGGCCAACCAGGAATTGGGTTTTACACTCCTGCTCTCTATATTCTTGCTATAATTAACAAAGAGATTAGACACTTTAATGAGGTCTTCTAATAAGGCCTTATATTAATAATCTTCTTCTTAATAAAGTTGGTCTGCATTTTCACTTTTCATCAGCTGATTGTGTTTTTGTTTCCTTACAGAAATCAAAGAAAGAGGTTGTGTATAAAAATCTCACAAAAAAAGTGATGATCAAATACTGCATACTGGATCTGTTGTTAGAGCTCATCCCGGCCCTGACTCTCAACCTTTAGTTTCTGCCAGAATCGCTGTTTTGCTTTTGATCTTTCTAGGATATTGTTGGATCAAATCTGTTTTGTTTTTTTTAAATAAGTTGTTATTGTGATGTCTGATATTTTGTTGCTCTGTATTAGCACTGTAATGGTTCACAAAAAGCACAGCGTCCAGAATCTCTTGAAAAAAACGTTGTTTTCTTGTGCTTGATTAAAATGCTGGCTGTTTTCCCAATTTTGTTGTGCTTATTTTGTTATTGATAGAAAAGCATGCAGCACATATTTACATATCGAACCATCGCTCTCAGCAGTGTGAGCGGCATCAGATGTTATATATATATATATATATATATATATATATATATATATATATATATCACTGCTCGCGTACCTCATTTACCCCTAAATGGAAAATAAATTACTTTTATTCTCTTATTAAAATTCTTAGCAATTTTGCTATAACACTGAAAACAAGGTATCTGGTTCTTTAAATGCTGTTGTTATGTCCATATCAAATAAAACGTAAAAGTCTTTCTGATAGGAAAGCATGATTTAACGTGAACGCTTAGATAACGAAAGTTACAATCCTTTAGTTTTCAACATTATCAGTGTAAAAGGAGAGATTCTCAAAGCAGGCAAAGTTGTTTAGAGAAAGGTTTTAATATACAGTTTAATTCATACTTCGCAATCGCGTGACTAGCATGGACGCCTGGCGAGCCACAAACGGGTTTTTCAACGTAGAGTCCAGTAGTTCCAGGGGCCTCATGTATAAACGTTGCGTACGCACAAAATGGGCATAGAAATATGCGTACGCATTTTTCCACGTGCACATCGGGATTTATAAAAAATAAACTTGGCGTAAATAAGTGCGCACCGTAAGGATGCTCTTGACCGTGCGTACGCACTCTTTTAGAAGATTATGGGTTTTGGCGACACCGATGGTGAGCTGGAGTCAAATGTCTTTTTGCTCACTATTAGACAGAGAATCTAAAGAAAATTATACATCTACAGAAAGATAATACAAATATAATTTCACAAACCTATCATCACTTGAAGCAAACATCCATCCCTTCTTAAATGACCGCGCCAGCACGCGCGTTGGGCCGTTTGGTGAAACTGACGCACATATAGCCTATAATCTAACGGCAGATGGAGTAAAACCGTAAATCTTCATTATGAGTCCAAATCATAAATACAGTCCATATTCACAATAATAGTTTAAATAAATAAAAGAATGGTACTATGTTTTACTTCTGATATAAACATTTAGATTAAATATGCCATTCTCATTAATGGAGTTAAACTCTTAAACTACATGAAATCATTACTGAGAAGTTAAAATATATATATATATATATTCAATAAATAGAAATAGACCTATTTGTTGTGGATACATTGCTTTTGAACACTTTTCTTCTGGCATGCTGTGTTTTAATGTTTTAACTAGAGATTGTCTGAGAAAACTGTTTCGTGCAAATAATGCACAACCATGTCTCTCCCATTAAAATCTCTTCCATTATCCATTAAAATATAAATCAATTAAAAATACTATTTGGCCAGTGGAAAAGATTGAGAAAAACTTTCTCTGAAATGTATTTAACACTATTTGATTTATTCATTCAAAAACAAGGCAAGGATATAGGCTACAAAAAAAAAAATGTTTGTAATAATGTGACGGCACATCCGCATTTCATATTTTCCTAACGTCTTGTACCGTTAAACTTGATATCACGTGGATGAATAATCATATGCAAATGATATGCAGATGAGGATATGCATATTTAAACTAGGCGTTGTAATCTCCATATATGGTTATTTCGGGGAGGAGACGCACGTGCGCATAATCTCCCGCTGACTGGGATTTATAAAGTGAATTCTGCGCAGGTTCTGGCGTACGAACGGTTTTATAAATCTGAAAACTTTTGTGCGTACGCAAATTCTGCCTTATGTGCGTACGCACACTTTAAGGATGAAATCTACGCAAAGTTTTATGCATGAGGCCCCAGGTCTTTCTAGCTATTAATTCTGTTAGCGAGCTAGCTGCATATAGACTAGGATTAACTCCAAGGTGAAGGTAGTTAAACTGCGTAAAGCAGACAAAGTTTTTTTTTTGGATAATCGAGCAGTAATAATTCCTCCGTAAATAATCTAGCTCTACTGTTCCCATTGAAAACCATAGATATCACAAACCTCAAAACAACCGATCAAACACTTTTGTTGTTGCTAGCAAAATACGACAGCTTCATTTACACCACCACCAGCAAGAGCGTCAAACTGTCAAAGTTCCCAGAACTCATTCATTTTTCAATGAATTTTGGTGTGAACGTAGTTCGCCTCGACAAACAGCTGACTCGCCGAACCAGCTGGTGGCGTTGATTGATGAATCTACAGGTTAACTTAAAGACACGATTAATTGCATGATCATACACCCATTGTATTCAACCTAATGTTGAAATGACCTTGAGTGATGGAGATCACTGCACACACAGATGTGTAACGTTACACTGTGAAGGTTTCTTATCTCATCTGGTTAGTACAACCAATCACACAACTACTATCAGGCGTGTCATTTACACCTCGAAACACCAACTTTTGTGTAAAGACAGGCGACGTCCTGCAAAATCCTTGAACATTTAGATTCAGAGACTGTACCAGACTGTACCAGACAGCAACATTCAACACCCATTATATGCACATACGTCTGTACGCATAAATAGACATTGCAGCATTGCACCTAGATACTTTAAAACCTCTATTAAATTCAGCACCATTCAGTTCAGTTTATAAGCTGCCAGATGAGACTAAACATGACTTACAATTTAGGGCACACTAGTAGATCAACAGCATGTACATGAAAGCATCTGTGTGAAGGAAATGGTACAGATGTGTCATTGAGGTGAAAACAACTGTCTCCCCAAACAGAAGCCTGTTCAATAAACTAAGATAACGAAGGTCATTTTAGCACATTAATTCACATTAGATGGATTTCTGAAGTTGTAGGGAGGTCAAGACTTTTACCCATATTCACTCAGTTCTACAGTCATGTAGAGTTTAAAGCTAAATGCTAATTTCACTCGTATTGGTACCGATCACTGAAATCTTGGAATCGTAACAATTAAAGAGTTTCAGCTGGTGGGTTATCAGCATCACCTGGATGTGCCATGTTTTCCATATGAATGGCATTGGGATCAGCTGGTGGGTCATCAGCATCCTGTAAGAAAACACAGATTCACAGAAGGTTAAAGTGATGAGAAGGATAGATGTTTCAGTTACACAAACACAAAAATATTGTGTTTTATGGACAGAGGTTTTCAGTTATAAACCTGCATTAAACTATCATCTCCTGTCCTTCAGTAATACAAAAATTGAAGTATTTTGATTTAAATATCACATTAAAAAAACGCTTAAACTGTTATATTGGCGATTTCTAACAAAACACTGGCTCTCTGACAAAAGTTGCACTGTTGTATTACATGAATTGTTATTTAGTTAATTTGTGAGCGTTAATTTGACTGCCTCACTGGTGAACTGTAGTGTTAAAAAAGAAAGGACAAAAAAATACTATTCACTATTTCACATTTATATTTTTCTTTTTATATTTACTGTTAAATCATCTCATATGTAATACTTACATCCTGTTGTACTGGTGGTGCATTGTTCTCGTGGTGACGATAGTAAATCACAGCACCAGCAGCACCAACAACTGCAGAAACCAGCAGAATAACACCAACAACTATTCCTGCTACAGCTCCTGGAGACAGAGCTGACCCTGGAACATCTACAGAGAAACAGACATTATTATTACTAGAGATTGACTGATAATCCATCCGGTATTTAACAATATCTTTGACTCATATTTACACATTTCTATATTACACATACACCTTAAAGATCATCAGTTGTATGATATTGAATTAACTTATAAATGGCATCATCTGCTGTTTTTAACAACAGCCGTTAAAATCACAATATTCACTGGAAAACTGCATTTATATGTTAATAACATTAGTCAAAGTGTCAAACAGTTATTGGGTTGATTAAAAATATTGAACTGTTTTTTTCCTCAAAAGAAAATGCATTTAATGGCTGAATTATACACTCACCGATGACAGAAACACTGAATCTCTTCACCCTAGTGATGCTGAAGGTGCTGTTGATGATGATCATCTGTAGTTTATATTCTCCAGAGTGTGTGTTTGTGGTGTGTGTGATGATCAGAGATCCAGTCTGATGATTCAGCTTCAGTCTGTCTCTGAATCTCTCTTTACACTGATCATCTGTACAGATCTGACTCTGATCTCCAGTGATTTCAGCGATGCGAGCTTCATTAAAATACCACATCATCACATCACTTGGTTTTTTTATTACACCAGGATCAATAGTGACAGATTCTCCCTCCTTCACTGACTTTCTCTTCACTTCATCTCGTTCAGCAGCAGAAACACCTGAAACACAAACCAACAGATGATTAAAGTTCTTTAGATGAAAACTACAAAAATTTATTTCAAATCAAGTAACATTTATTTATATTTAGCGCTTTTTACAATCCAGATTGTTTCAAAGCAGCTTTACAGAGATAACAGCAAAATAATGCAACACAGTCCAAAAAAAGTTAGATTTTTGTTGTAAAAAGTGATTCATTTAATTTAGTGATTTTTCATGAGCTAAACTCGAAGATCTGAGGCCTTGTCCACACGGACACGGATATTTTTATAACCGCATTTTATCCTCCAGCGTTTAAAAAAAAAATTCCGTCCACATGAAAACGCAAAAACACGCCATCAAGCGCTGTAAAGAGCATGCCACACCAGCAGGTGGCGATATAACCATAACCGTAAAGCCACTTTAGCCAATCAGGAGCCTAACAATAAGTTATTACAGGTTACAGGTCTGCGCAGACGCACTCTCTGACGTCGCAAGGCAAAAACAATGTAACCAGCGTTTCTGAAAATCCTCACCCTGGCAGGGGTTTTCAAAAAAAATTTTTGGTTTCAGTGTCCTGCGTTTCCGCGTGGACGTACCGCGTAAAAAAAGTCACGATTATAAAAATACCCGTGTCCGTGTGCACAAAAGTGAGCACTTTGCCTAGATGCATCCACCTCACGGGTGTGGCGCATCAAGATGCTGATTAGACAGCAGGATTATTGCCTTAGGCTGCCCACAATAGAAGGCCACCCCTAAAATGTGCCATTTCAACACACAGCACAATGCCACAGATGCTGTAAGTTTTGAGGGAGCCGTGCAATTTTCCATGCTGACTGCAGGAATGTCCACCAGAGCTGAAGGTTAATGTGCGTTTTAGAGAATATATGCAGTACATCCAACCGGGCTCACAACCGCAGACCACGTGTAACCCCACCAGCCCAGGCCCTCCACATCCAGCATCTTCATCTCCAAGATTGTCTAAGACCAGACGGCCGGACAGCTGCTGCAACAATCGGTTTGCAAAACCAATTATAATTCAGCACAAACTGTCAGAAACCGTCTCAGGGAAGCTCATCTGCATACTCATTGCCCTCATCAGGGTCTCGACATGACTTGAGTTTGTCGTCGTTACTGACTTGAGTGGCAAATCACATTTGATGACATCTGGCACTTCGGAGAGTTGTTCTCTTCAAGGATGAATGACAGTTTTCACTGTAGAGGGCAGATGGCAGACCGCGTGTGTGGCTTTCTATGGTTGAGTGGTTTGCTGATGTCAATATCAGTTTAAACATAACATTCACAAACTCACCATGAACAGAAACATTGAAGATATTTCCACTGACTCTGCTGGTGATGATCTTCACTTCATAGAGTCCAGAGTGTGTGTTTGTGATGTTCGTGATGGTCAGAGATCCAGTCTGATGATCCAGCTTCAGTCTGTCTCTGAATCTCTCAGTGCCTTCATTACACTGAACATCTGTACAGAACTTATTGAGATCTCCATTGATCTGAGCGATGCGAGTGTCTTTAAAATACCATTTAATATCATATTGTTTGATTGTTTGAACACCAGTGTATAGAGTGACTGAATCTCCCTCCATCACTGACACTTCATCTGATCCGACACCGGAAACACCTGGAGAAGAAATTAACATATATTAACAAATTCACAATATAGTTTAAAGTGTTGACTAATGTAATGTAGCTCAACATTATTGATGTGGGAGATTCAAATTCAGATTAAAGTATGTCATTTATTGGTTCAGTATAACAAGTATACTACAGTATATAACAGCATCTGTTTTGGCATCCTTTGTCTATCATTACATCATATGATGGTGCTATAATTCATTTTAATGCTATTAAACCATTCAATCGCACTAAGAAGGAAAAAACACAAATGTACTGGTGCATCTGAACCGGTTCTCTATGGATACTGAGGCTTTTTCAGTCGGGTAGGATCTGTGATCTCTGACCCGGTTTGTTCATTGGCTTCCATGACTGTGATATATCAAACTGGGTGATTTTATGCTTTTTCCCTTTTCTCTTTTTTTTTCGGCTAAACTCCTAAAGAATGTGACAATTTGACTTTTTCACATATGGCATATGTTTTAAAGGAGACTGTGACGGGGCGCATAGCTATCGTCACGGCAGCGATACGCTGCCTATTCTTGTACACAAAGACTGTGTGTAAATGTGATCCGTATGTTTGTCTAGCACGTTAAGGTTTTTTGTTAATCTTTATACGGTCATAAATCAGCGGTAAATCTAGCCTTTCATAACAAAATCTCATATATCCCGTAGCTTTTGGTGTGCACATCTTTAAGAGCTAATACTGCGGTGATTTAAATGCTATAGCTACTTCTATCAATGCATATCTTGTTGTTTTCCAGAAAATTATGTCATTTACATCACAGTTATTCAGTTACAATAATCACAGAATACATGTTTTCAATAGGTATCTGTTTATTTAGTTTAAGAGAAACATTGTGTTCACATACCATCTTTGTTGTACTCCCGTCTCTGGTTTGTTTGAGTAAAGGAAAATGTGCCGCTATTGTGGGGTTTAAATGACGCTATGACTTCCGGGTCAATAGGAAAATGACCCGGAGTTTGAGTTTAATTAATTCGTAGCTGTTAATGTGACTTTTTGCTTGCCAATTGTCAGCTGAAACTGTAGAAATAATATTCTGTAATTTTCTAGTTTTATAGAGGTTGTATTTCATGCTGTTTTTAAGCATTTATGCTGTTGTCATCTGAGTCACCCCTGTATCATAATCATGTGTTGGTATGTTCCAATTCCATGGGTGAACTCAGGTCTATAAAGGCTAGTATTTTCATTCTGTTAGGGGAGCTTGGGGTGAAAGGACATAAGTCTGTCCTTGCTCTAATATACTGACTTGTGTTAAGGTCAATGTTTGAACTGTTGTAAAAGTTTGTTTTTGGTTTTTTTTAATGTATTTATTTTGACTCTCATGTCAATTTACTTTGTTTATTCAAAAGTATTTTTTTTTATTTTTTTATTTTTTATTTTTTTTGCTTTTCATTGGCCTTAATTATGGCTAAATAAAAACCCCATCTATGCAAACTCATCTAACTTCTCCTGAGTGCTACATCTGCTCATGACCATTCAGTCACGACTACCCATAACAGAGACACTTTGCCATTTGTTGAATAAACTTTGGATTTGTACATCTGTCTAAAGAGTCTTGATTTTATGTCTAAGCTTGTACATTACAGTAACACTATATAATAGTGTAAATAGGTTTTGCACTGAACAGAATACTTTTATAAACTACACTTATAGTGTAAAATCTAATGGATTTGAATCAACACCAGGGGTGTTAAAACCACAGAGTGTAAAAATTTTAAGTGTAAAACTTAACACTCACAGTGTAATTTTTCGACATTGTACGTTGTTGTAGTAACACAGTAAATTCTACTCTACAAACAGTGTACTTTTTACTCTAGATAGAGTGGGACCATATATGATCCGGAGTAGTTAAAATTAACACTTGTAGGAAACGTTTCTTTCCTTGTAGAAAAGTTAGCAACTCAGGAGACTTTTGAGGTCTCTTTCACGCAGAAGTTCTTTATTGCGTTGCTGTAGTCATCTCAAAGATAGTCTAACTAAGGGAAAACATTCCCTTACAATTTATACATTTAGAGGGGAGGAGTTTACATTGAGGGGGGAGAAACTGAAACAAAAGTAAATGTATATGATTCAACAGGCACCTCAGTTCATCAGCATAGCAGTTTTCTGTGCCTTGAGATGCTAATCTGGAGGAGTTACATTGAGGAGGAGTCTCTCGAAACAAAGCAAATGTAAATGATTCAGCAGATTACCAGAGACATTAATCTAATCAGCCTGACCAGCGTGGTCACACTTTTACCATTACAAAAGCAAAGCTGAATCTTGAACTTAATGGCCAGGAAGCGCATAAAGACAAAAGCTAATGTGTGACAGCTGGAATGCTTGGCTTAATCTTATTGGCCTCAAAATGGTAAACACTGTATACATTTTTCAGTTGAAAATACTGTTAAACCTTAATGAAACATTTAATAAATTTGTATTCCTTCACACTTAAAGTTTTAATTTGACACTGCGTTTTTTACTGTTTTCCATCAACTGGCAACCCGAGCTGTCGAAATACTACTGGGCAGAATCCCACAGACCAAAACATTATCAGACATGACGCGAAACCCACATTTCAAAGAAGAATAAACGCCTGTCACATTATTTCTATTAGAAAAAAACTGTGATCAGTGTGTTTTCTATACAGAATATCTGCAAACATTTTATATTTTTATTCTTTAGTATAGTATTACACACAGCTGGTGCTCTTGCATAATTTTTGTCTGAAACATTGTACATTTGTTTTTATTTTTTATTTTTTTTTCTTCTTTGGAATGGTACGAAACTTGGTTAAGGTTTTGGCACTTGCTATGTGAACACACACACACACACACACACACACACACACACACACACACACACACAAAAGACAAGATTCCAACAGGTTAACAGGCAAATGAATGGGAGAAGAACTCTATCTAGAGTTAACTTTTGGCACCGTCTCATATTTTAAACACAACTTGTTTAGATTTAAGGCTTTGATTTTCTCAGTTTTAGAGTAAAACATGTTTTTGAAAATTGAAAATAGTATTTCTTCACATTTTTCATAACAGTAAACGTAAAATTCTGTAACTTTTCACTTTTTCAACAAAGTTCACTTTTTTTCACTTAGTGTCGTCTTTGAAAAATGTTTCTCTTGAAAAAAGTCTGTGCTCTGAACTAAAGCATTCAAGAATTACGACAATTGGTCTATGCTCAAAGAGTGAACAAATTAATTATAAATACAGCGTAAATATAATTCAGTACAATGAAATCCCCTAAAAATACAAAATATTCAATATAATTTTTTTGACTGAAATATAGTACATTGATTTCACTTTCATTGGAAAAAAACAAATTTCAGTCATTTTTGACCGACACGTGAAGAGCACTAATGTATATTATTACCATACGTCTAGTACCCTTTAGGTTCTGATATGGTACAAATGTGTAGCGTTGACGCAGGTGAATAATTTAATAGGTGGGAATGTGGCTTATCGAACAATCTGTTGCAGAACAGGAAAAGTTAAAGAACATCTGCTTGACCTTGACTTCTGGTTATTCATAAAAACAGCTAATGAGTTCATTTACCAGTTTCAATTAAATTATGGACACCTCCATGACCCATTTAAATAAGACAGAGGAAAATGTACGAAACATTAGTTAACTTTGGTAAACTACTTTAGTTAACATGAACTAAGAACAAACAATACTTCTACACTATATGTATTAACGTTATTTCAACATTAATGCACTGTGAAGTAACATGAACACACAATTATTAACAACTGGATTTTTATTAACTAAAATTTAGTAAGATTAAAAAATACTGCAACAAATATATTGCTCATTGTTAGTTCCTGTTAGTTAATACATTATCAAATGTTGAGAAAAGAGACCTAAAATTTACCAAAAAAATCAATGTGATGAAAAAAAAAATCTGTATGTTGGTCTGGACCAGCTTGTATAGTTTTTCTGCCTAAGTTGTCTTCTCAAAGTGACATTGAAGTATTGAGTGAACTGTGATGACTGTGCACCCTTAAGCTTTGGAAGCAAATGGGGAGCAATGCAAAATTACAATGATATGTGTTAAATGGCATTGCATTCTAGCAACATTTGGTGCAAAATTAAAAATAAATTACATAATTTACATTAGTAAAGTTTTAATATGCATATTGAAACGCTTTATAAGTTGGTAAATTAAAATTAAAATGCATTACAGAAATGATAAGAGAAGAAAAAAACTGTGGCAAAATGATCATTCAAATGTTATTTTTCTTAATTGCATTTCTACTCAAGACAATTGCGATTGCATTTTCATGTCCCGCAATGAATGTTGAAAATTCAATGTGCACATTGAAAATGCACTCCGAGCCGATCAATCTGTCAATCACTGTATCAGGGGCTCGGCAACAGATACACGTCATGTTATGGCTGTTACGTGTTTTGAGGTGTTGAAAAAATTACTGCGGCAGAGATAAATACGAGTGTTAAATTCTTTAGCAGATGAAGAGGAGCGGGAACAGAGAAACATCATTTCTGTAATGCAGTTTCATTTTCATTTCAGTTTCAATATTAAAACTAGTGTATGACATGGCAAATACCTCCGTGACCAATTTAGTATGACATGTATTATTTCCGAAGATATTCTTTTGCCACAGTTTTTTCTTGAACATGTTACACATCATTTCTGTAATGCATTTTCATTTTGCAACTTATTAAGCTTTTCAATATGCATATTAAAACTAGTGCATGAAATGGCAAATGCAAATTATGTAATTTCAATTTCATTTTGCACCAAACGTTGCTAGAATGTAAATGATGTGAATTTAAAAACAGAATGCAATGCCATTTTAAATATTGCATTGTCATTTACATATCACATTTCAAATTGAATATTGCTACTACCTACATGCTTAATATTAAGCGCCCTTGTTAGATTATATTAGAGGACGCTGATTGCTGATTTGCTCAATTTTATGTCATAGGCCTATCTTACGTTTATATCTTGAATCTTCTATCTTGAAGAGACAAAGAGAGAGAGAGTTCTTACCATTGTGGAGTAAAATGAAGACCACCGAGAGCGAATAAAAGAGAAGATTCATCTGCAGCACATTTTGATTCTGATCATTCTGTTCTTCTGCGTTAAAGAAAACGCAGTGACATGGGAGCCTCCATAGTGGACATAGAGTGTAACGTCGCCTATAGTGAAATCACAATGCGAGTGGGCTAGATGACATAATGGTTATAGTCGGTTTGTGTGAGAGATATTGATGTTACTACGTATGAGACTGAGGCTTGGATGTGCGTTTCGCAAATTCAACGCAATTTCTATTGAAGCCCCGTGTCGGCAATATTATGAAGCTGCAGACTCGGAGCCTGCATCTACAGTCCCCCACCGAGAGTCCCGCATTCTCAGACCCCTCGTTTTTCGAACACAGCGCCTCCTGCTGTTCAAAAGATCGAATGACACCCGCACACAGAGTACAGTGCACGCTTATCCAAATGCAATTAAAAACAATAGGATGCAATATTATGGTCTCCAAATAAATTATCCAATATATATTTGCGTTCCCTGCTTAATACATGTGCCAAAAAAAAAACAAAAACTAATTGTTACTGATGGAAGGGATACAAGATTGAACTATCTTCAGAAAAATAGGCTATATTATATTGCTACAATGTTTTTTTTAATTTTTTTTTTAATTAAAATTCCAATTTTTCTTTCAGTTCAACCTATAATAGTCTAATTAACATTACCATGCTAACATTACAATATATGTTTTTTGATGTTTTGAATGCGAAGCAAAAAAAATCAGAATAGACAAAACACCAATAATAAACAATTCTGTAGTTGGCTACTTTATTTAATGATCACCTAAACATCATCTTGCTGTAAAGAAAAAAGGAAGAAAAACTGTGTTCTTGACTTTACTTTTCGTCTTCAATTGCATCTTTGCGTAATCATAAAATGATACGAAGAGTTCAGATGCAAAAGCCTCTAAATGCCATTTGAAATTTTCTTCTTTAATGATGATTTTTATCAAACTTGTATATTTAAGTTCAGTAAATTCACTTAAATGGCAATGATAATTACCTATTAATTGTTATTTAAGTAAAATTACTGAACTTAAATATACAAGTTTGATAAAAATCATCATTAAAGAAGAAAATTTCAAATGGCATTTAGAGGTTTTTGCATCTGAAGTCTTCATATGTTGATGGATTCGGCAGGGGCAACTCCATCAATGTATGGTGTGGAATAGCCTACAACATAGGACCGATAGCACATGTCTCATGATGTTTAAAAAATAAAGAAAAAGATGTTTGCAAATGGTAGTTATATTGCACTGCTCTGTTGAAGTGTCCCTTGAGATTTTTTTTAGCTTTGTGGGTTTGAAATATATGGGGGCACAAAATGGGCAGTGAAAATAACTGCAGCATTTATGACATTTCTACAAAAAGTTCAAGGTTAAAGGCTAACGTAAACGTAAGCTATCTAAATATTTTCGGGGTGAAGAGGGCGAAAAAACATACATTAACGGCTCAAATCTTACAAACCATCTTTACAAATATTAAATGGACTTTTCATATGTTGTATCGCTGAGCTAAATTAGTTTTATTAATCAAACGAGTAGCCTAGGCTACTACGATTCTCTAAATAAAATTGAAGATAGCCTACTCACGTTTTGGCTTAAGTTCTTCACATGTTTATCCGATACAATTTGAAAGGAGGCGCAGTCTCGAAAAACGAGGGGTCTGAGAATGCGGGACTCTGGGTGCAGGGGGACTGTAGATGCAGGTCTCCGAGTCTGCAGCTTCATAATACTCCGTGTCGGGGAATACTCCGTGTACTCCCGCCTTTTTCGCCTCTGATTGGCTAGAAGGGCTCTACTCGGATTGGTTATTTGATTTGTGTGTGTGTGTGTGTGTGTCTTGGCTTGGCTTGGGTACGTTTAGGAGTAGTGTGTGTGTGTGTGTGTGTGTGTCTGTTGGGTAGGTTTAGGAGTAGTGTGTGCGTTGGGTAGGTTTAGGTGTAGTGTGTGTGTTGGGTAGGTTTAGGAGTAGTGTCAAAACAGACTAGACGGGCTCTGCTAGCAGACAGCCTGCCATGATGAACGTGAGATGACGTTTCACGGCCAAATCAAATAACCAATTGGAGGAGAGCCCTTCTAGCCAATCAGAGGCGAAAAAGGCGGGACCTTCCTGATATGATTCAGAGGCATTTTATTATATTCATTCATCCATTTATATAATATTTGATTCAGTGACATTTATTTAAATGCTAGCAGAAGTACATATTAGCACTTTCAAAGCTAAGATTTACATGCTCCATTCTAAGCTATTGTAAATGATGAAATCAGTCGACAGACAAACAAAATGCTTCACTCTTCTCCACCATGGTAACCCACTCTAATTTAAATGGTTTAATAATTCCAATGTAATTTAACATTAAACACTATTACACACTAAGTCTTCCCCTTTTCAAAATTTCTCAAAAAACATAAAATAACACTTAATTTTGACATTTATTCTCTCTTAATTCAACCATATGCAAAGCATGCTGGGAACTAAAAGCACTGCCCAGTTTCAGTTAATGCAACACAAATCAATCACGTAATCCAACACAAACGCATTAAGTAAACTTAAATTGTTCGTAGATTTAAGCAGATTGAACACAATAAAATTAAGTTCGGGCAAAATGGCAGTCGGCTCGCACTATACTGCCACCCTCTGGATGTACACATTTTAAATGGTTTGTGTTTAGACAACACATTAGGATTTTGTACTGTTAAATTGAGACACAATTACATAGACCAAAATAGAAAAAAACATTTAAAGTAAAAAAACACAATTGTTATAAGTAAACTATATATATATATATATATGTAAAGTGCACAACCTCCCTAGTTCATTTTTTTGAGTGTAGACCTTCTTCTTGGAGTATTACAGCAGTGTAGACGCTGCCTACTCCTGCCCTCCACTGGTCAAAGTGTGAACTGAATTTTTACAAAGAAATCCTGTGTTATACAAGAACTGAATCTGCCCTGGAGATCAGATTATATCGTCACTGTGTCCAAACAAAGATAAAAGATAAAAAGCCTTAATTCCAAGTCCTGCCAGTTTAACAAAGAATATATTTATTTCTGCCTTCTAGATTCTCGGAAACATGACTCCCACACTCATACAAGCCAAACATGCTTTCCCACAATGCACAAAGAACTTAACCCACATTGCCCCAACCACAATATACACACTTTAACCGAGTCCATGTGGGACAAAAAGTTACATGAACATGTTTTCCTAACTTCAGGTTGTATATAAAGTAGTGTGTACCCCTAATCTCGGGATTGTTCAGGTGTGGGAGAGTCAATATTGACCTCTGAATCTGAATCTGACTTGACTTTTGTTAGGCTTATTTTATTTTATTTTAATGTAAAGCTGTTCTGTGAGTGTATTAACTGTGAACTTCATAAAAACAGCTGATTTTATTTTCCTCTTTGCTCTTGTTCATTTGTTTTTAATTCTCTATGCAATCCAGAAATAGACTTGATAGACTTCTGTACTGAATTCAGTGTGCGGCCTTCTTGCTCGTTTTCATAAAAAGCAGGGCAGGAAGAAACTCTTCACCTATAGTAAACACACACACACACACACTGAATACACACTCTCACGTAGCCGATGGTTCAGATCACACCACATTGCTCAAGTACACCACTCATGGTTTCAGTCTGACTCAGAAGATGAGCTTCAATACAACTGCTACTGGGATCACACACACTTTTAGCTTTTTACTTCAGATTTTAAAAACACAAAAATTGAGAACTGCATAAATATACATAACCATCTTAAAATCACTCGAATTCATAGAGTTCACTAGATATTCTTCTTTTGCTATTTAACACAGTCATACAACTACTTTTCAAAGAGTTAAAGTCTTATAAGGGCCAGATGAACTATAACATTATATGATGTTCAAATACAACTTGTGAAGGAGGGTCAAGCCGTGTCGTGGGAGGATACACACATATAGACTGACACACACACACACACACACACACACACACATAGACAGAGTGTTTCCAGTGGAAAGTTTCATCATACACTGAACTACCGGAGATATGTTTCACATGTTTGTTTTGTTCTGTTTTTGCTACAGGAGTCTGACTGGTGAGTTATTAAATATATATATATATATGCATTTATTTATTTTTTTCAACTAGAGTAATACAGAGACTGCCACATGCTCAGTAAAAAGGTTCAAATGCTGTTTTTAGAAACCTGTTGAGTTCATATCTGGGTTAATAATGGATTATTTTCTTAATGCAATAATAACCTGGAATATTTAGTGTGAAAATCAGATGTAGTTTGGTTATGTGCTTGTTTTAAATTTACATTTGTGAAATCAATAATAAGGATCAAACACGCTATGAATGGGGACACTGTTCTTAATCTGGGCAGAACAATCTGGTAATTGTCCTTTTTTTCAAAATAATTTTTTTTTTTTCAATTTTTTTTAGCAATGTTTTCTGTCTGCGTGATTCTGACGATCTCCCCCTTAACGAAGGTTTATAAAGACTTTTACACATTTATTTTTCTTTTCGGCAAGAGATGTCAGTGAGACGTTTCTGGTAGTCAGTAAAAAAGGAAATTGAATATTAACATTGTTGATATTAATATTACATTGTATACATTGTTAATATTTGTTAATATTACAAACATTGTTTATTTCCAATGGCGAATCCGTCCTGGTGGACAAAATAAACTGTAGATTAATATAAATCCCAGGTTAGATTTATAATCCCTGATTTATTAATCTGTGTTTAATATTAAGTGATGCGACAAACATTGAATGATCTCAAAATCTTCAGCTGATTTCAGGCTTTTGTAAACGATCAGAAACATTAATCTGTGTAAATCTGTGTGTTCATCAGGTGTGTTTGGTGATTCAGTGTCAGTGATGGAGGGAGATTCTGTTACATTAAACACTGATCTCACTGAAATACATGAAGATGAAGATATACTGTGGATATATGGAGCTGGAAACTCTCTGATAGCTAAAATAAAAAAGAAGCAGCAAATCTTCTCCACATATGATAATGTTACTGATGGGAGATTCAGAGACAGACTGAAGCTGGACGATCAAACTGGATCTCTGAC